CTAAGTTTTGCTAGTCCTGTCCAAAGGTGGTCAGGTATAGATATTAATAAGTAGCTATGTAGTCTGGTCTTATAGGTTATTAGGTTAGGATAGTAATATCCTGGAGATAAAATAAAACATTGTAAAACAATATAAGGCATAACAAAGCGAATTGAGTCGTGACAGAGTGACAGTAGTAGCCTTCTTCATGAGTGCACCCAGCTATATAGATAATAATAAGTAGCTGTGTAGACTAGTCTTATAGTTTATTGTTAGAATACTAATATCCTGTAAATAAAATAAAACATTATAAGGCATAACAAAGCATTATAAGGTATTCCAGGGCAAAGTAAACCTTGATAGAGTGACAGCATTAGCATTCTTCATGAGTGTACACATAGATAAGCCATCAGTGTCTCTGCAAATTTGAAAGTTTGAGCATGCCTGAATTGCCACATTATGCTGTACTAACTAATAATGTAATGCATGTTAACTGATCATTTGCATGGCATTGGTCCACGGGAGAAAAAACATGTTTAACTTGGATCAAAATAGCATTATACCGTCTGCGATTCCACCCAAGGGTAGGTTAAACTGTATATTTATTATGAGGGTGTGATGCCTGAGAGTGTATTTACTTATAGAAGTAGGCCATCCCTCATACCTGCTGTAATTTATGAAGCATGAGCGTGGGGATGTCAGCCTATAGGTACGATTGTGTTTAACGCGGTCATCTGAGAGTGGTACCCCCCCCAATATCCCGAGCAGTTGTACATCGTCGTTGGGTCGGCTGAGACTGGATCTAAATGCTGTATGTGAGAGGGTGTACCTCTTAAGTGTGTATGGGCTGCAAGCTATGGGCTATGTTGGTTGTATTTACGGTATTGTCCCAGTCCTAATTCCCGGGTCAGCCGATGCCCTGCGCAGGCTGGGTGAGTCCCTGTTTTGCCAATCTGTGCTCCTTGCTGAGTAATCTGGGGGGTGGTGGTGCTTGTGGACTCTGTGCCCTGAGGTTGCGAGTTTGCAGTGGTGTACAAAGTCCAGCTCGTAATCCCAGCTGCTCTGCGTGCCCAGTGGTCCTGTCGCGTGCTGCTGCGGCTCCGGGGTGGCCCTCCTGCTGCGGTCTGCTTGCCAGATCTTTTGCGCTGTCGGTTCGCCGTCCGTTTCAGGCCAGCTTTGCCCTGTCGAGTCCCATGCCGTGTCTACTTTTAAGGTGGGTTGCTTTGGCCGGTGCTTCTTAGCTGTCCGTGCAGTCTCAGGTTTTAGACTCTGTCTGCTGTTGCTCTTTGTGAGGCGTACAGTATTTGGCACTCCGGCCGCACTTTGCTGGCGACGGCTGCTCGCGTGTGCGTAGTTAGGGCTGGCAATTGTTGTGCTCTGCTTGTCAGCTCGCTGTGGGCCCTGTTGTGTGTTGGATTCAGGAGCCTGCGGATGTACGCAAGCCTCCAGCTTTTTCCAAAATGAGGAGAATATTTCTTGCAGCCGGAGTTCCGTTTTAAGCCCTGGGCTTTCTGGGCCTGCAGTGTGAGGGGCATCCGCCATTTTGTGAGCTGCATTAAGTGTAGGTTCAGTCCTCTGCGTCTTTGTCTCCATCTCGCTGCTTAGCTGGGGGATCGTGTGGGGGCGGACCGGGATGACCTCCACCGGTCCATAGGGGGGGAACAGGCGTTCTGGGTCTTAGTTCTAGACGGTTTTGGCGACAGGAGAGCGGCCATCCCTCCCGTGCCCGCCATGCCAGTAGGCCTCGTCTGTGAGTCAGGTGCGTACCAGGGCAATTGTCGCTTGTTTGATATCATCATGTGTATCCCGGTGTCCTCTGTCACTTGGTGGCCTTTAGTCTGTATATTAGTGACGTTTTTGTAGCCTTATTCTCTATTTGCAACGCTGTTTGGCAGGAGCTGCAGAGGTTTGCTTCCTCTCATTCCAGCAGTCAGGCCCCCTATATATATATATATATATATATATTTTTTTTTTTTTATTATTGTTAGTTTATTTTTAATTTTTATTTTTTATAATATATATATATAAAATAAAAAATAAATAATAATTAAAAATAAACTGTAACAATAATTAAAAAATATATATAAATATATAATTTTATTCTAACTGTATTTTGATATTAATAAATATATATATATATATATATATATATATCAAAATACACTTAGAAGGAAATGATATATATATATATATATATATATATATAGATATATATATATATATATATATATATCTATATATATATATATATATATATATATAGATATAGATAGAGATATAGATATAACTTTACTATATATATATATAGTAAAGTAGTATGGCTGCATTCACGGATTTCCAATAAAGTTTTACTTTTATTCCAGTTCCTTAAAACAGGTCAACGTTTCAGTCCATCTTGTGGACTTTCATCAGGATCACAAGTACATTGAAAACATTTCATCTATATATATAGGATGCAATAATTGTAATAATAGTGGACTAACTCACCAGAGGTGCTGTTCGTGAGGAAACCGGCATTCTTTCGGATTGTGTGCGCATGTGCGGCATACGCCCCGCCCATTTCCGTGACGTCACTATGTGACGCTAACGTCGTTGCCATGGTAGAGCAGCATACCAAAAATGGCCACCATGGCAACGTGTAGCAGTAATAACAAGCTTCCACAACACCGTGTGTGTATAACTACAATAAGTGACAGCTCATATAGAAGAATATAATAGCTGTCCGAGTGTTTATATCATGACAAAAGGTGAAGTGCAACTGAAGTACACATCTTAACAGTTATTGTTAAATACTCACATATATAGTGCATGGTGCAACAGCAATTACAATTTAGCTGTAAATAGTAGTGCATTGTAATATCAATGTTATAAAGTGCCTATTTAATGAGGTGATTTTCCTTAAGTGCCATGTAAATATAAAGTGCAATGCAAATATAAAGTGCATATCATATTTTGAAAGTGCTTATGTGTCTTGTGCTAAAGTGACATAATAACTGCATATGTTTAAGTGAAAAAAAAAACATAAAAATTTCTAGCATCCAATTAATATAAACACTGAATATATAGGGTTCTGCTAAGGTAGAACGCTTAAAGATATATATACATCTCTTCCTTGTAAAGGACATGGGGATAATCCCTATTTACAAGTCCTTAATTGCAGGTGCTAACGTATATGGTGTGCCATACCTAAATACTTATTTAGTTAGCACCCCCAAATAAAGCTACTACCTATGCAATGTTTAAGTAACAATACAAATAACTAATTACAGTATAATTACAATATAAAAACAAATATATATATATATGCAAGGTAGGGCTAAGGGAAATACTTAGATATCACAGGAAGGAGTGTAGAGACAGGGATTCGTTCAACCCTCTAGGGGATACTGTGTCTAATTCATGTATCCAAAACGCTTCCTTGTTAAGAAGCATCTTCCCCCAGTCACCACCTCTCCTTAGTGGCGGGATGTGGTCAATCGCCACAAACTTTAATGTGGTCAAAGTGTGTCTCATTTCCAAAAAGTGTTTTGCCACCGGTTTGTCCGATTGGCCATCCCTGTATGCCAGTCGAATACTGGACCTATGTCCCCTGATGCGTTCACAGATAGCCGTTTCTGTCTTCCCTATATAGCAAAGACCACATGGACAGCTTAATTTGTAGATTACATGTGTGGTTCTGCACGTAATCGTAAATTTAATAGGGTAGACTTTGTTTCTATGGGGATGATTGAACGTCCGCGCTGGAGTCATATGGCTGCATGTGACGCATCCCAGGCATCTGACCGATCCTCTTATTTGTTCCTTTGATATTTTCTGATAACTGCACACAGAGTCTGTATGGACCAGAAGGTCCTTTACATTTTTATTTTTTTTAAACAAACCAATGGTGTTTATTTAAACTCCCTTGCAGGTAAATTATAACCCAAAGTGTTTGTATAAGTTAAGGTTGTTTATTATATTTCATTTTATGTTTGAATATAAATACAACTTAAAACAAATGAGTTCATAAATATATCAAAACTTGATAATTTAGTAATTATTTTAGTTTTCTAGACTAATGACCTTCTTAATGAAGAACAAATTTCCAGAATGAAATTGTTAAGAAATCCTGCTTGTGTGTTTAATATGTTTTAAAATAAAATTATTACATTATTCATCCTGGCCAGGTGAGTTACGCAATAGGTTTACAAAAACATTTGCCTGAAAAACTAAAATATGTTTTGGACTTCTTTTTATAAATGTTTATGGTCTTTGTTTATTATATATATTTATTAAATAAGAATACATAAACACTGTAATTACTTCTAACAGTTTCAGATATTTTGTGTTCTTCTTATAGAAATCCTCAAACATATGACATTTTTCTAGTGGATGCTTGCAAGTGCCCTGCAGGAGCTATATTTTTCAATAAAAAGAAGGAGCTCTGTGTTCCAATGTGCAGTAAGTTATTATCTTAAAAATACAAAAAAAAATTGCAATTTAAATATTAAAAAATGATGTTGAAGATTTACAGTTCCAAAGGATTTAAAGGATCATCCAATCACCATAACCACTACAGTGTGCTGAAGTGGTTATGGTTCCATGAGAGCCAGCAATATTTTTAGGGTCTGCTGAGTGTTTCTTCCCAGCTCCATTACAGCTTCCTCTCTATCTAGAATCAGTCAATGAGCTAGCTCTACTCAGCGAGAGCTAACAGATGCATCTAAGCAGGAGTTTGTCAATCTTCTGGCAGCTGTGAAGAGGCAGGAAGTAATGCTTGCTGTAACCCAAATAAGAAGATATACCATTCAAAAACAGTTTGATTACACTACCTAATTGTATGTAAATATTCCAACCATATATGCTCACTATTATATTGCCAGTTTTTGAAGATTCCCATTTTAGAATTCAAACAGAATTAATATAATGCTTAGTAGTGATGTCCCGAACGGTTCACCGAACGGATCGCCGAACGGTTCGCCGAACGGTTCGCCACGGACGGCGAACATAAACATAAACTTTGACCCTGTACCTCACAGTCAGCAGACACATTCCAGCCAATCAGCAGCAGACCCTCCCTCCCAGACCCTCCCACTTCCTGGACAGCATCCATTTTACATTCATTGTGAAGCTGCATTCTTAGTGAGCTGTCCAGGAGGTGGGAGGGTCTGGGAGGGAGGGTCTGCTGCTGATTGGCTGGAATGTGTCTGCTGACTGTGAGATACAGGGTCAAAGTTTATGTTTATGTTTGCCGTCCGCGGCGAACCGTTCGGCGAACCGTTCTGGACATCACTAATGCTTAGCTTGGTCTATGTATTTTGTAAAACAGTTTAGCAGTCCAATTTATAGGACTACTGTCAACTCAACACTAATTTTAATATAATGATACTTTCATCAAGCTTTGAAAGGAAATTGAATTTTTTGTTAAATTAAGTATATGTAAAAAAAATAAAAATAGAAACTTATCGCTACCTTTAGTATATGACTGGATCCTTCAGTTTGTAGAAAATGATCAAGGCACTCCAATAGTTTCCAATTCTTAAGGCAATTTATTTGTTGGGGCAGAAACGTTGCTTTGTAGTTCCTGGTCCAAATAAATTGCCTTAAGAATTGGAAACTATTGGAGTGCCTTGATCATTTTCTACAAATTTATCCGCTTGGTCCTTTTGGGTACTGGGACTTTTTCAAGAGCAGCCTGGATTCCCTAGTGAGGAGCTGAGTGCACTTCCAGCTTTGATTATATGGATCCTTCAGTTTGTGTCCATATGAATTTGGTGTACTCAAATAAATAATACAATTTGGTTCAGCTAAATCGATTTAGTTTTGATTTGGCCAAACTGAATTTTGCCCATGTGTCATTTCAGTTAGGTCAAATCAATTCATTCATATAAAATGCTTCAGATGGACCAGAAAAAAGCCCCTTTATAAAAATAGGCAATGGTATAATAAATGTAAAAAAACAAGTACAATTTCAGTTAACCCCTTAAGGATGAAGGCAATTGTTGAACCAAAACAGAACCGAGAATTTCCTATATAGTTTTGTTGCACCATAATTTAAGGTTCTCTTTAAAAAATAATAAATAATATGTGGGCACAGAAACCTAACATTAAGCGTAAATAAAAGGTAAAAATTTTTTTAACCCCTTAAGGACACATGACGTGTGACATGTCATGATTCCCTTTTATTCCAGAAGTTTGGTCCTTAAGGGGTTAATGAAAAAAATAAATGGAAAAAAAATACCATTTTTGCTTTTAATAATTTTTTACACATCCAGTACAACACAAAAATAACTCAATATAATTTCCTATATCATGCCATTATGGAAATGGCAATAAAAACTGTTATTAATCTAATACCAGAAGTCTATTAAACATATTAATTACGAAAGGCTTTACCTATATTCTGAATTTTAGAAATTGTTGTGCATTTTTTTTTAACTTTTGTAACATGTCAAGAAATGTATTAGTCTAATTGGAATATTTTTCCTTCTGTCCAATAGCGTGTGTGGGCCCTCTTGGAATGCCAAAACTGGTGAGTTACTTTATCAGGTTTTTGTTCTGTTGGTTAGAGTACATTTTTTATAGACTTATTCATGGGTGAAAAATTCAGTTCATCTAAATTTGGGGGTGGGGGGGGGAGTAAAATTCTTCCAAACAGAATTTTGCCCATTGAGCAGTTCTGTTCATCTGAATTTCATCCTGTTTATTTGGTACATTTTTTTGATTCAGACGAATAATGCATTCTGAGGCTTGGTTTTTCTGCTTTTCCAACAGGCTAAGCAGACAAGCAGCTCCATAACTGCTTCAGCTCACTGTAGTGCTTATGGTGACTGCAAGGGTTACTCTTCTACCTCCCCATTGTAAGGAAGGATTTAAACCAACAGGGATTATGGTTTGACCTTTTTCTTGCCTGCAGTCTGCTGGGCACCAATTCCACCTTCACCACCTCAGCCAACTGGATGCTAAGGTGCATTGTTTAAGTGCACAGGAGCTTTCTGCTAGCTCTCCCAAGTTAATAGCTGCATCCAGGGCCAAACTGGGAACTGAAAGCGGCCCTGGAAAAAAATTATTTACCAGCCCAATAATGCGTCGCGCCTGCATAGTGTGCTGATACAGAGTTAGAAAAAATAACTTAAAATTAAAAATTATTATTCCAACGTGAAAAAAGCACTCAGAGGCTTCAAAATAAAAAAAGTGCAGATTTATTTTAAGCAGACGTGCCTTTGCATGTAAGCAATGTTTTAGTCCCACTACCTTGTCATATTAAGGAAAGTTTGGTAATGGGACTAAAATGGTGAATGTATGTAGTGCATAGCTGTACAAAATGACGTTATCTTGCTTATTTCGAAGTCCTGTGGGTGCGCTCTTAACTTTAAATATGTTATTGTGCTGGAGTATGCATCTAGCAACAAGACTGGGCCAATATCTGCTCATTACATATGTTACATATTAATGACATTTCTCTGTGTATTATGCATATATAAATGTACATTAATATATGTGTAAATATTATATATATATATATATATATATATATACATACACACACACATATATATATAGCCTCTATGTGTGTCTCTTTCTACCTCCAGCTCACTGGCGTACATACCGCAGTCGCAGGTGTCGCAGCTGCGACCGGGCCCGGGCCTCCAGAGGGCCCGGCCGCCCTGCGACCCAGTATGCACGCCAGTGAGGCCACATTTTGCCAGCCTCTTCTCCTGGGGGGCCCATGAGCTGGCCACCTCAGGGCCCCCCGAGGCTGGCAGTGGCATCACTCTGAGTGCCCTGCACTGATACCGGATCCAGAATATGACGTCATTCCGGCTCCGGCATCAGTAAGCTGTGCACGAGGGAGCTGGGCAGGAGGACCTTGCCGCCTGCAGGACCGCCCAGCAGCCCCACTGGACCCCAGAGAATCCCCTCAGCACTCCCAAAGGTAGGGAGCCTGGGGGATTAAATAAAAAGAAATGTGAGTGTGTATGTGTGTTAGTGTGTCCAGTGAGTATGTTACTCTGTGTGTTTCTGTTAATGAGTGTGTCTGCTAGTGAGTGTCAGTGAGTGTGTTAGTGAGTGTTACTGTGTGTGTCTTTTAATGAGTGTTAGTTTGTGTGTGTCAGTGAGTGTGTTACTGTGTGTGTTAGTTTGTGTGTGTCTGTTAGTGTGTGTGTCTGCTATTGAGTGTCAGTAAGTGTGTTAGTGAGTGTTACTGTGTGTGTGTGCGTGTCACTGAGTGTGTTTGTGTCTGTTATTGAGTGTGTGTCTGCTAGTGAGTGTCAGTGTGTGTGTGTTAGTTTGTGTGTCAGTGAGTGTGTGTGTTACTGTGTGTATCTGTTACTGAGTGTGTTAGTTTGTGTGTCTGTTAGTGAGTGTGTGTTTGTCAGTGAGAGTATGTTTTGTAAGTGAGTGTGTATGTGTGTCTGTCACTTAGTGTGTGTCTGTTAGCTAGTGTATGCATCTGTATGTGAGTGTGTGTGTGTGTGTGTAGTTAAAACCCCTTCAGCACTTACCTTTTTCCAGTGCTGGGATCCCTTGGTGCTGGGGATCTCTCCGCCCCTATCCGCCTCTCAGCTCCGAATGTGCATGCGCGGCAATGCTTTCCTATGGACGTCCAGCAGAATCGTGGAAGTGCCTCTAGCGGCTGTCAGTGAGACAGCTACTAGAGGCTGGATTAACCCTCAGTGAAACATAGCAGTTTCTCTGAAACTGCTATGTCTTCAGCTGCAGGGTTAAAACTAGAGGGACCTTGTACCCAGACCACTTCATTGAGCTGAAGTTATCTGAGTGCCTATAGTGGTCCTTTAAGTGTATGTGTATCTGCATGCACTGGCGTGCACACCACGGTCGCAGGGGTGGCAGCCCTGTGACCAGGTGCCCGACACCATGTGTAGCGGCCCTGGCCTGCGCAGAGTAAGCGCCAGGGGGCCCATGGATCGTGTGTACTCCACTGCTCCAGCACCTCTGTGTGCCTCTTTGTCTCCCCCCACTTCCTCTGTATGTTTCTTTCTCCCCCTCACTGCTTCTCTGTGTTCATGTCTCCCTTCTCCTTTCCAGTCTCTCTCTTCCCCCTGTTTATTTCTCCCTCCTCCCCATGTCTCTCTCCCCCTTTGCCTCTTTATCCCCCTCTCCCTGTGTGTCTCTTCTTTCTCCCCCTGTGTCTCTCTTCCCCTCAGTCTTTTACCCCCCTTTACCTGTGTCTCTCTCTCCCCCACATCTTTATTCCCCCTCTGTCTCTTTCCTTTCCCTTCCCCTGTGTCTCTCTCTAGTCTCTGTCTCATTCTTCACCCTTCCCCGGTGTCTATTACCTTTCTGTCTCTTTCTTCCCCCTCCCATTTACCAAATGAAGTCAGAGGTGGCCGGGTGGTTGCCTAGCCGGTCTAGCGGCACACTCACTAATGTGGACAGCAGTGATCAACCTAGGAGGACTGAAGGAGTGAGCATGTCTCTCTATCATGCTCTCTCGCAGTTCCCACAATTCCCAGCACAGCCACATCATACTGTTCTGGGAATTGTGGGAGCCTTGGGGGAGCATGATGGAGAAGCATGCTCCCCCCTCTTCAGTCCTCCTATGCTGACAGCTCACTTAGTGAGTGTGCCGCCGGACTGGATAGACGGCCGGAACCAGCATGGAATGCGGACGGCCCCCTCAGACTGTGCTTTGGACCGGCCACCCGGTGGCACCTACATGCACCCACCTGTAAATTTCCCAGTATCCCGGTGGGCCAGTCCGGCCCTGCCTGCATCACAGTGCTAGCTCATTAACTGACAGTTTTATCTTAGTCAGTCTCAACTAATGATTCTAATTCTGCAGCACTGGCATAAAGCTCTGAGAGCTTCCAACTCTCCATGATGAAGACAGGGAGCAGTGTCTGGTGGACCCTAGGTGGACAAGAAGTGAAGCTGTTGTAAAATGATTTGACCCACTTTTAAGGGTAGCCAAATTGTATGTGAATGCTTGTATGTCCCTGTTTGTGCCTATCTATACTTGTATGTACCTGTCTGTATGTTCCTGTGTCTGTGTGTGACTGCTTCTATGTGCCTGTCTGTCTGTGTCTCTTTACATCAAGTATGTCAAACCCGCGGCCCGTGGGCCACATAAGGCCAACAATTAACATGCGGCCCAGCAAGCTGTAACTTTGACATGCTTACTGTTAAGACAGAGTAGGCACCTGCTCTTCCCACATTGCAGGTGCCTACTCTGCTAAAATGTATC